CCTTAATGCTAAATTAAAAATGTAGAATACAGAATTATTATTATGCTATTACAACAATGTAAAATTATGTGCACTTTGGGCGCAAGGACTTAGAAAAAATACAGTAATTAATTTGTTCAATGTATTTGTTAAGTAGAGGAGATTATAGATAAATGTATCTTATTAAGTTTCAATTATGTCTTTTTTTGAAAAGGTAATGTACACTCTGTTTAAGAAGTTTAAATTGAGTAATTACATTCCAGTAAAATTTCAACCTGAAATGTTTTAGTTATAATTGGAGGATTAATAGAAGTTTAAACTATAGATATCTGGAAACTTTACCTATGTGAGACCTACTCATTAACCCATCAATACCAGAAAAAAATGAGGTAGTGCTGGAAACTGTCTATAATTCTAGCTGAGGGGCATCTAAGGGGTGACAGTACTGGGGAAGATGCTGGAGAGTAAGTGACAGGGCTTCTAAGACATGGAAAAATCATAAAAATATTTTTGTCCCAAGTGAATGCCTGCCAAAAGGTGACCTCAGCAGAGGAAGATTTTAATAATCAAGTGGATACGATGACCCATTCTGTGCCTACCAGTCAGTCTGTTTCTCTGACCACTCCTGTCATTGTCCAATGGGCTCATGAGCAAAGTGGCCATGAGGGAGGAAGGTTATGCATGGGCTCAGCAACACGGACTTCCACTCACCAAGGCTGACCTGGCTATGGCCACTGCTGAGTGCACAATCTGCCAGAAGCAGAGACCAACCAGAGTCCCCATATAGCACCACTACCTGGGGTGGTCAGCCAGCTGCCTGGCAGCCAGTAGATTAATTTGGACCACTTCCATCATGGAAAGGGCAGCATCTTGTATTAACTATAATAGACACACAGAAGGGAAGCCACACACAGAGGAGAAGAGCATGTGAAGACAGAGGCAGAGATTGGCGTGATGCAGCCACAAGCCCAGGAAGCTGAGGAATGCTGACCGCCACCAGAAGCTAGAAGAGACATGGCATGGATTCCCCCTGGAGCATGTAGGGAGTGTGGCCCTGCCAACACCTTGATTTTGACCTGTGGCCTCCAGAACTGTGAGAGAATAAATTTCCGTTGTCTTAAGCCACTGATTGGTGGTAATTTGTTATGAGAGCCCTAGGAAATTAATACAAAATTTGTAAACTAATAAAATATCTGTGTGTTTCCTAAGGCTGCTGTAACACATTGCCATAAACTTGGTGGCTAGAAGAATAGAAATACATCCTAGCTCTGGAGGCCAGAAATACAACACTGAGGTGTCAGCAGAGCCACGCCTCCTCTGAAGGATCCAGAAGATCTTCCCTTGCCTCTTTCAGCAGCTGGTGGCTCCCCACAATTCTGAGCTTGTGGCCACATCACTCCAATCTCTGCCTTGTCTTTATAAAGAAAAAACACTTAATTAAAATTTAAAGGCCTAGATATGAATCTTGGCTCTACCCCTGACATAGGGTGAATTATTTAACTTCTCTGAGGCTCAGTGTCTTTATCTGCCAAGCTGAGAGGGTACAGGGTTGTGAAAATTCACTTGAGATGAGATTCTATAAAGAAAAACTCTTTGTAAAGGTAATAAACATGACACAGATTATGCTATTATCTTCCCAAATCCCACACTTCCCTCCAACATTTAGAATTCATCTTTTAGATAGCAGATTATCCCTTAACCTAACATTTTACTTTCTGGAAAAGTCCTAGAAATACTACCCACTCTCAGTGTAGCAGACTGCTACCTTGCAAGGAAAAGATGGTCTACTTCTGTAATTGATGCTGTGGATTGAACGTTGCCCTAAAACTCACTGAAGCTTGATCCCCACTGTAACAGTGTTAAGAGGGTGGGAAAACAGACCATGACAGTGTTGAAAGGGGGGCCTTTAAGAGGTGACAGGATTATGAGGACCATGTTCTCATGAATGGATTAATCCAGTCATGGAGTAATGGGTTAATGGTTTAGCGGGTTGGGGAGCATCACTCGTTGCTTTATAAGGACAGCAAGTGAGTACATTAAAGAGCTCTTGCCATACTTGCCATGGGACTGCCTGTGTCACCACAGGACACTATAGAGAGCCCCATTCAGTAGAAGGCAGATGTGTCACCTGGACCATGGACTTCCCAGTCTCTGTACTGTAGGAAATTAATTTTATTTCTTTATAAATTACCCAGTCTCAGGTATTCTGCTATAAGCAGCAGAAAATGGACTAGTACAATTGGCTTTGGTTTAGTTTATGGCATTGAAGCTGGTGACATCTGACTTTTATTCCACGGTGAAGCCCAGACCGCAGCCAGGGGAGGGCCCAGCTGTGGCATTCTGCTGCCCCCTTGCTGGACCTCCCGCACCATAGGGTCTGGTATTGGCTGGAGGAAGGGCAACCCCACCCAGCCCTACAGAAGGTGCACACACCTGGATGGATTGTATTGCAACTAGGGAATATTTCCTTCAGTTCCCACTTGGAAGGAAGGACAGGTGCACCCCAGTCGTAGAAGGTGAACAGATACAGATCCCAGGATCCATGGGTAGTTATATGAAGACTATCACACAGGCCCCTGCACACACAGGTGAGGCACATGCTTCCCCAAACATTCAGATGGATAGGCAAGCATGGCATGAACTTGTTGCTTCCTGATCGTGACTTCTAGATGCTGGGGGAAGGAGTGCGTGGTAGGGAGCAGGGCACAGTCACCATCATTTCCCACACGCAGTTAATCATGACCATGCTGTGTCTTCTAGCTGGATGCCAATGCCTCCCATCAACTTTTAAACCTCACCTAAATTATGCAACTGATTTCCTCCACCCACACAGCAGGCACTGAGGGAACCAGGAGACCAGTGTCCTCAGAAAGAGCATCTTATTACACAAAAGCATTCTCCCCGGCATTTCTATTCCTCTACATCATGTGCCACATACAACTAATTTTTTTTAATGGTTTTATTTCTAAAGTCTCCTTTTTTCCAGGAAGTGAACAACTACTCTTCTAAATTAGATTTAGTATGAGTTCAGTTTCTAATTAGCTCAAATTAAAGTCCTAGAGAGCAGAGATGTACAATTTAAACCCTCAGGCTAAAAATCTCAGAGTAGAGGCAGAATTTTGACTCTAAATGAGTTTTCCACAGTAACATAACACTAATGAAAGCAGGATTGTTTTCACATGTGAGCTCTTAAATAAGACTAACCCTTTATAATTCCTTTTTCTTTTTAAATTAGTCGTTTTAAAAAAAGGAAAAGAAAAAGGAAGCATGACATTCTTCAATTTCCGCTGCTCACTGTGTCATTTCCCTGTAATTCCCAAAGTGAATCAGAGAAAGTGAAGAGAGCAATAAACAGAAACTTCCTTGATGGTTCACAGAGAGA